CTCGCTAAAAATATATGGTTATATGAATGAGGAAACAACTTCGTATGTTTGTGTGATGTTGTTTAATGGTTTGCGTAAAGGTATTATTGTTAATGTTAAAATTAACTAGAATGTGTGTTGTAAAAGTACCTAGAATGCAAAAACTCTCGAAACTCTCGGTTGCATTCCTCTGCGGTTAAGACTCACTCGATGCTATCAAAAGAAGTTCAGATCATTCTCAAGGCCAAGCTCTTTTCAATGGACAGACTTTCTTCTCAGAGAAACCAACAGCTCACATCAAATGTATATTAGTACACGTGGTTCAAGTTCTTTCACCGGTGATATTTTCTCAAATTATCTTGCTTCACTATTCTGTATTATATGTTCTCTGCAAAAAAAAAAACGTTATTTGCCTTGTAATCGGTTCCTGCTTTAGAGGTGAATAAAGTAGTACTTGCAGTAAAAAAAAAAAAGTACCTGGAATGCAACTAATGTGCAGATTGAATAGCTAAAGAGCCGTCAAAATTTCCTATTTATCTTGATTTTTTGGATTATTGTACCCTAATTTGGCTTCATCCTTTGGTGGAAGATGAGCAAAACCTTTTTAACTCTGAAGTATTTTAATTAAAATACTATGATTTGAAGTTAAAAAAAAGGACCTAGAATGTATGTTATACATGGGGGACACTATGAAGAAGGAATAAGACGGGTCCATATGCAAATCAACATACGTTGGCATGCCAAGCCGGGCCTGGATCTAGTTCCAAACTATGTAGACTTCAACTCATAGAAACATTTCTTGCATATTCTTCTTTATATATGTTTTCCACCGCACCACCACATACTCCCTCAGCAGCTCTGGAAAAGCTCATGTGCCACCAATAAATATGTTCCTTCGACTTTGTGTGTAACTCTTGCTATATTTGCTAATTACTTAAAGGTCTTCTAATATCTTGTATAAATTGACAATTGAGACTAACATTGTTGAATATTATAAAACCCTTCACACAACTCTCTTAGATCTTATAATCTCGTATAAGCCCTTGGCTTTTAAATTTGTTTTAGCACATTTTACTTACTTAATAATCACATAATAAATTTAAAATCCGTAAAAGAGGTTTTCTAGCCCATTGAAAAACATAGATTCCTGGTTTTGTAAAGTTTGTTACAAACTATTTTGATTGAATATCACGGTGGGAATTATTGGTGTGACAGATAAGATGGGTTGAGAATGACTACGCGATTTTCTTTATTGTTTTGTTCCTCTAAATCTATATTCTAAAATTAAGTTTTTTTTTTTCGAATATTAACAAGATCCAACGACCATTAATCTCCAGCGGTGTTACCATTAACTTTTGTAACACTCAACAGAAAATTGACAGTCCATGTTTACTACAGAGTATGAAAACTGCAGTTGATAAAAGCATTTATAAATGTTACAAATATTTAAAATAACTTGACGGACAAAGCATGTAATTTCAGTTATATAAACTCAAGCTGTCTAGTAATTACAAACATTAACTCTACAAATCGATATACTAACTTAGGTTTACTGTTGAACAACATCATGGTGAATCCGGAGCATTTCGTGCACTGCGGTAGCAATATCAGGGACAGATGTAAGCTTACAAGAATCTTCCATCTGCATTAGTTATTTATTAGCAATATTAAAAATCCAGATAGTTGAAAAATAAATAGATTAATCCAAAAGTTAAATTTCTATATTTGACGTAACTTTATAATTACCAAATTTATGTATCATTTTCTAACCACATTTTCAATCTTAACCGAAGATGGAGGATTCCAAAGATACCAATCATTTATACATACTTTACAAAGTATCAAAATTTCTTGTTCTTTTTCAAAGATACCGCTATTATATATACCAATTAAGAACTAAAGCAGTTCATAAATCCAACTAAAGATACAGAGTTTACATACAACATATATCAAACGGATATAAACAAGGACTCTAAACTAACTTCTCAAATCTTATGTAGTTACTAAAAGTGCCAACACGTATTTGTGGCCTAGTCATATGCATGAAATATTTGAATATATCGTTCTTGGTTAATTCTTATTCACATGATAAATAGAGTACATTGTTTTATAACCGATGAAAAAAAATAGTAGATAAAGTTGTTTGTGAAACAAAGGTAGAATGGCCAAACAATTAAAATGTTTATGCTTAGTACTATTCTACCAAAAAAATCATAAACACACAAAAATATGTTGAATTAACGAGTGGATTTTGGTTTCATTAGACATTTATTTTAACGTATAATATATATAAAGTAATCATCTTAATTAAGTGATAGTCAAAACATGTAGATATGCAGTTAAAATTTATAGTGGTACATAGTAGCATAGATATGATAGAATAACATTTTATAAACGTATATAGAATGTGATATATCATTTATTGGTAAACAAGAAGAACAAAGTTTTATATATATATATATATATATATATATATATATATATATATATATTATATATATATATATTATAGGTGAAGATATCATTATCGGATACAATTCTGATGTGCGTAGAGGCTAAATACAGAGTTTCCATTGACTATAAGAATAGCATGTGAATGGTATATCTAGTTAGGTTTATCTGTTTTTGCCAGACGGGTCTAGAATTCATAGATTAATTAGCTTCATAACTAAACCTATATTTGAAACCGAATCTTATTATAATGATCTATTGTTGATCATCACCTTATAAAACTAATAAGACGATAAGTGACAAGATAAAAACAGTTAGGTTAAGGCTAGGCCTAGCATTTTATTTACAATAAAATCATACATAGGTTTACAAATTTTACCAATAGATCTAGTTTTTTGGTTACAGCTATTTTTAGTATGTTTCTTTACTGTAACCTTATAAAATTAGAGGTAAATAGAGATGTAGGATTAACAGAAACCGTACCTTAGTGGAGAAACAGTAGAGGATACAGTCAGAAACAGTGGAGACATTAAGGTGAAGTATGATAAACCCTAAGTTCTGTAAACCAAAGACCATGTTCAGAAGAAGCTTTGGCCTCCTTCTTGATCTTATCTTGATACTTGCGTGGCTCTCGACGAGGTTTACTTCAATATCAGCCAATGCGTTAACCCCGAGAACCCCGTTCTCGCTGACAACAGAGGAAGCAATTGAAACTTGGGGAAGCTTGAAGGTGTCGGAGAAAGGTGTGGCGGATGCGATACTGTCGCCTTCGTTTACTTGGACATTGGAGTTTAGGAGGTGAAGACGGTGTTCGAGTTCTCTGATGAAGTTTATGGCACCTCCTACTATTGATGCTTGGTCACACTGAATCCATGACAAAGATAACAAACTTAACTCATTACTAAAAATAATTATGCATGCAAAGTCTACAAGGTACTGCTCTGGTGTTTCTACCCTTTCCAAATTCGTATACTGCATGTTGTTGATAAAAAAATAAGATTAATGTTACCTTGAATATTCAAGTAAGTACATAGTTTTAAAATAAGACTAGTTTGGGATTATATACCAAAAATTCTTAAAATTCCGAATATTTTTCTTAAGATGTCAATTAACTTTATTGAATTTTAATTGTTTTAGAAGATCTAATAAAAGTGAACGTGAAAAATAATGTTTCTGTTAGTCTATATAATTTATACATGTACTATTAATTATAATAAAAAAGGTTAACTATTAATCTACTAAGATTCATCATGAAAAATATTAAATTACTAAAATTTTCTGTATTTATTAAAATGATTAAGAGTAAAAAAGTTATGTATAGATGCTACTTGCTAGTATATATAATGATTGTAAATATAGATACCCTTTGAACGTATGACCCAGGCATGAGAGAGCGGAGAACAGAGAGATGCTCATTCATCAGTTTTCTCCGGTTACGCTCCACTGCAATGTGAGTCATACGTTGATTATTGATTTCTTCTTCGTCTTTTTTCGCCCTTGATCTGCGTCGCGTTGCCTGATTCTTCCCCTTTGCCGGGTCGTAACTCATATCGCAGTTCGGGCTACCATAAGAGTTTTGGTTCGAGGTAGTATTTTCTTCATTAGTTACAATTTCTTGAGGTGGTTGATGAAGAAATGTAGTAGTAGTATTCCTATAGTAGTCTTCTTGGAGAAAATTCGAGTGGAAGTTTTCGGTTTGATAGTCGAACAAGCTGAGAGAAGCTTGGAGATCATAGAAAGATGGTTCATCTTCTATGTAAATGTTGGAGTAAGCTTCTTTATCATTGTAGCTGTACAAATGGTCGTGTTGGAAGATCACACCCTCGAGAGCCATTACCAGCCTTGGTACTTTTAAAGGTGATGTGTTTTTCTAACAATAAAAAGTATGATAAGAATATATAGATGAAGAAGATGTGAAATAATAAGTGTGAAATAAGTGATACTCTCAATGAAGCCTTTATAAAGAAGGCGTTGATGGGAATGAGATCTACAGGTTGTTGCACGTGAAAAGCATAGTTTGGGAGTTTGCTCGAAGGGAGATGTATTCTCTTTTCAGGTTGTTGGAGTATTAAAAGGGTAAATAGCTAATAATTGGCCAATTCCAAATATTTATCGATGTGTCCAAAATAAGTTAACAACATGGTCCAAGACATCCATATAAACGTTTAAGATGACGAAACTCGGTAGGCAACGAAATGACGGATACGCCTCCAATATACATCAGCTCGAGAGAAGATAATCAACGCGTATAATTTGAAGGTAAATTCATTAATGTTTTCAATTCGTTTGAATTTTTATCTTCCAGTTAGCGATGAACCTAATTTTTCAGGTCAAGTACACTTCCAAAACCAAGATCATAAATCTAATTTTTCAGTTTCTCTGGCTAAGCGGAACAAGAAGAACTGCACCAGATAATTACCACATTGGAGAAGACAAAGCCGTGACAAATAAATCGTTGTTTGTTTGTTTAGATTGATATTAATAAGTTTATAACAAAAGATTCAAGTGAATCGGAAGCTGAATTAGCATTACTGAAGGCTCATTCCAAACACTACCCTTGGGCAGAAAAGATGAATCCATCTACGAGAAACCTTCATAGAGTCACCATTCCAGAATACATGGATGATGGAACCCCAAAGGTAAGAATCCCTAGTCATGTTCTTCTCGGTGGTGTTGAGAATCAAAAGGAATATGTGGTAGGTCAATTCTCTCGATGTTCTGCTCCGTCTAGAGGTCAAATTCAGGCAATCGTATATATGATTTGGGGTAGAAAGTGTCAAATTTTCATCCGTAAGCTAGGAGAGTCAACAGATCTCTTCCATATACCTCATGAATCAACTCGCAATTGGGTCATACAGAGAGGTTTGTGGCATGTTGATGACTGC